GATGGAAGAGAAAAATTGCCTATTTCAGCGTCCAGCATTTTCCCAGGCGCACTACCCGCCCGGACCCGCCCGGTAATCTAGATTGTGGCTTGCACGTCGACGAAATATTCCCGGTGCGTGTATGATGACCGCGGCTATCTCCGCCCTTTTCGCGGGTTTTGTGAGAGCGGGCACCACGGGACGTGACCGTTTGGCGCGATACTTTTTACCTCCCGCTATTTCCTTCGCCGTTTTATACGCGACGGCTTTCAGCGACGAATTTATGACAAATTTCTGGACCGCCCGGTAATTTCCATCCACGCGAGATCTGCCTGGTAAAAATATTTGCGAGAAATATTAATGCAGATTTTGCCGTCGCGTGCTAATCCGCATCGCGGGCCAATTAACGCCACCGGAATCAGTTATTTCAATGTAACTGTTAAACTTCAGATTACGACTTTCACGCATTGACGGATTTTAGAATCTAACGTTGTATCGCACAAGAGAAAGTTCAATCTAATGAAATTCTATTACGGTTGTGTTAATCCTTGGTCCCGTGGACAAAACTACTTTGGAACAAAGTAATTTTTCCAGCGTACGACTTTTCGATACGCATCTATAATTTATGTCTAAACGCGCCTATGACGTAACATCGTTATCGTTACGCTATAAATGTAAACCGTGCTACCACAAAATTCGCGAGGGCCAAATCGACCGGTAGATGCATTTGTTGTGCAGCGGTCAACACAACGGGCGGTTTTTATCGGCGTGCATCTTCTTCCGTGTCGCACGCACGGAGGAAAAGGATTACGATTGCAATATAGTCGAGCGTGCAGGGGAGAACGGGTCAGTTGCTTAGAAAGTCGGTGAAGTATTAGCATGCTCGTGTCACGCGAAGAATGACCGCCGACTATTTGTACGCCGTTTAAGAGCCGTTCCCATGTTCTGAAAAATATGATACACGGACAGAGATCGAAATATCGCGATATTTATAATAGCATACTCGAGCATATTAACCTATTACCTAAATTTCTAAATAACGTTATTTAATCATTTATTATATAATTTATTTACGCAATTGTGACCTCAGATCTGTATATACATCTCAGAGAAATGTTTCTTACGTACATTTTTCATCGTATAACTTTACGTTTAATACAGCAACTTTAAGTTTAATCAGGCTTAGCTTGATACGGTATCGCTTCATAATGTTACGTCTCAGAACCTACGTGTGACCCAGTCGTGTAATAAAAGAATCTTACAGGATTTTTCTTTTCTACTTGCATTCACGTCTAAAAATTATTATACGTCAATTTTATTTTCGAATTTTTTCGTAAGTAAATGCTTCAACACAATTCTCTAACGTCTATC